TTTGTTCTGTTTGTAAGAATATAAAATGGTATAGCCAATGTGGAAAACAATATGTAATTTTCTGAAAAACCTTAATAAAGAATTTACCACATGATACAGCAACTATACTTTTGTTATATATCCAATAGATTTTAAAACAGGATCTCACAAAGGTTTCTACATACATATTCATGCATAATTCAAAATAACTAAAATGTGCAAACAATCCTATTGTTTATTGAAGGATGAATGGGTCAGCAAAATTTTGCATATACAAAAAATACTATGTAGCTTTAAGAATGACTGAAATTCTGAAATTAGCTATAACATGAATGAAAGTTAAGGTCAGTACTCTAAATAAAATATAGCAATCACAAAAAGACAAATACTATATCATTTCACTTATATAGAGTACTTAGAATGGTCCAAATAAGAGCCAGAAAGTAGAATGAAGGTTGTGAGATGCTAAGGAGAAGTGAAAAAGAAGAATTATTTTCTAATATGTATAAAATTTAGGTTCTGCAAGATGAAAGAGTTCTGCAGATAGATGGTGAAGATTGTTGTATAAGAATATGAATGCACTTTAATGTCACTGAACTACACACTTTAAAATGGCTAAATGGTGCATTTTTATGGTATATGTATTTTAGTACAATAATAAGTGTTAAACAGATCTTGCATAAAAGAATTTTCCAAAGTTTTCATGGAGACTAGACAAAGTCTACAGAACAGAACCATGAATAAAAAATAAGGAGAATCTGTCAGATATTTGAAGCTGTTTTACAGAATTTAGTGTCAAGATGTAATGCAAAACCTACATGATTAATTACAGAAGAATAATTTTCAGAATAATATATGAAATTTTATCCTATTTATGTCTATTGAAATAAAAATGATGGTGTGTATGTAATTTATAGGATCTCCAAAGAAATGTACTCACTGATACTAGTAGAAGATTGAATGAGATTTTAAGAAACCATAATTATCTTGATATAAAATAAATCAGTACAATATATAACATGTTACTATGGTAATTAAGTTGAAATTTCATCCAATTTTCTTAGGAAGCAATATTACTCACCACCTAAATCAAACTAATGGATTATGATTCTAGGTTTTCCAACACTTACTAACTATATGACTGGCCCTTAGAGTTAACTTCACGTTTCTTCATAAATTTCTTAACATAATTAAATATAATATCATCGGAATTCTTATCAGAATTAAATATAAAAACATATACAATCCTGATATACACATGTACAAACAGTTCTTAGCATACAATCTACGGAAAAAAAAAGAATTTTAATTTTTGCTACCTCATTGGCTGTATTAAGTAAGTTGCAATTCCTCCCAGAATAAGTGATTACAGTATAAAATTGCGCTAAAATTTTGTTTGAAAATACTTAGGCTTTTGTCATATTATTAAGTATTCAAAGGCTCCCAGAAAGTAAATACTCCCAGTAAATACTGTTTGGGTAGAGATTTTACTTTGTGTTAGAGTTATTTTCCAGCCAGGCCTCTGAGAAAAGAGAAAATATTCCTCTGATTTTACAACTGGGGAAAAAAAAAAAAAAAAAACAGAAGAGGAAGGAAGAGAAGGCAAAGAAAACAAAGCAGAGGAAAGGGAAAATTTCCATGATGGGGAATTAAATTTTATTATACTATTTAAAAAGCTAGAATGAAGGAGAAATCAACTTAATAACTGGTATGATAACTCTTTTTAAACAATGAATTCTTAAGTAATGCATACACAGCTACTTGGCTACTTAAAAAAATATTGTATTCTGCTTTTATCTACACATCTTCAAAAAATACATTGTCCCTGTTCTTTATCATAAAATCTTTGCAGGTTGATTTTATTATAATGTGAGTGTCCAAATTTTCACTTATAATTTTGCATTGAAATAATATTTCAGTCATTTCCAGATGAAAATATTCAGGGATTCTACTACTAAAAAGGTTTAAATGTTGCTATTTTTTCAAAAAAGAATCTATCAGATCTACCAAAAACTCAAGCAAATTTATTGTGTCTAAGCAGAATAGCCAAGTTAAAATTTTAAAAATGAAACACCTACACAATAATAGTTAAAATGCAATAGTATCTGTGTTTTTTGGATTTTTGTCATGCGAATTTTAATGGCTTTTAGGTGGTGTCCTTCCAGCTCTATTGATATGCAAAAAGAATCAGAATACGCTATGTAGTGAATAACTCAGCTGACTTCACTATGAGTACTCTGTGGTGAATTGATTTTAGTTAATATCAAAAATTTACTTAGGAAATTTTAGTATGAGTTAATAAGAGAGATCCAAGTATCTGTAGAACGAGAAAGCTGTTACTATTCAAGTATTATACCCAATTTATTATTTATTCTGGGAATTGGCATATAAGGAATATAATGGAAGTTTTGAAGGATATAATGTCAGATGTTAGATGTTATTATCACCTTCATCCTAATTTTTTACGATCTCTGATTGTATAGTCTTAGTACTATCTTTAAAGAAAACCATACACTATAAAAGTTTATCATAACTTTACTTCAAAGCTAAAGAATATTTTTATCTATTTTTAGATGCTTTTACACATTTAGTTGTGCCAGTCAGTAATGTATATTTTCCTTTGAGAAAATGTGCTTTTCAGCATGCCGCCAAATAGTAAAAATTACCATCTGGTCATGTTAAAGGCAATTCTACCCTCTTTTTCATTTCATTTTACCCCCAATCTATTTAGATTCAGATTCTTCATGCACTTCTAAAGCTCTTGACTCAAGGTCAGATAAAGTAAAATATTGCACTTTTTTTCCAAGCAAAAAGAGCTGAGTCGTATACACTCTACACTACTGTACACTTAATCTTTCTTGTTAAATTAAAATTGGAATCTAAAATGTCTAGGGCAACCTCTTCCTGATTACTGATGGCAGACTGATTTTGTGTGACTCTATTGAATTAGAAATGTACAGCCTATATATAACCTTCCTCACATTGTAGGCTCTACTAGAGCATCTGATTTTAAGCTAGAAAACATTCCATCACATTGCAGCCTAAATTAAGCTAATTCTATCATTTCTAGAACACTCATTGAATACTACTTATGAAGGTCATAGGACCTGCTTCTCTCCTAATCTTAAATTCTACAGACTTACACAGGTACATTAAAATGCTCTTAAACTGATTGGATTTTCTGGCAAGGTTGGAAGGTGACTAGAAGGCAACTTCTATAGTAAGTATCAAAAGTGTTGCAAAACTTTGCATTCTCCCTAGAAAGAAGACAGTACCAGAGATTTATCATGTAGAGCATAAGGTGTGGTTGAAATTACAAGAGTAAGTTAGCAGAATTTTCTAAGCTATATTCTTGAGCTAAGTGAATGTTACCAACTAGAGAATTAACTTAGTTTATATGATAGTTTTATAATATAGATTTAATGTTAATATACATTTTAATGTATAATAAAAGAAATCATATATAGAAAATGTAATCAATATCTCAAAGTAGGTGTACAATATCTAGATTCTGATCAATAATTGCCTGCAAAAATGAGTAAAAATGAATATTTGTTAAATATATACTGTCTTAGGATTTTATTGATATTATAGCTTAAAAACAACCCTGTAATGCAGTGGATATTTATTGTAATGTGGGGACACTGAAAAACTGGATAAATAATCCCAAGTCCTTCAGCAACTAGGTGGCAGAAGCAAAAGCTAAAATAAAGATTTTGTGATTTTTTTTCCCGAAGTTCTTCACCCTACGAGATGTTAGCTTTCTGTAAAATACTGCTGAAAAACATATGGGCTCTTGTTATCATTGTTTTATATTCTACAGAAAATTATGTTCCATTGTAGCTCATATAATCTGTTTATGTTACAATATTAAATTGAAATATTTCATTAATATTTGAGCTACTTTTAATATTATATCAAAATTATTAATCATCTTGTCTCTACCACATAATAATACAGTAGACCCTCAAGTTACAATCGGGCTGACATACAAACTTAGGTTATTAGGTTAGTGGAAGATTCACCTGCCTCTTTTTATCTATAGTGTGTACCCAGGTAAACATTCATATCTCAGCTGTATTGACTTACAACCAATTTGAGTTACAACCAGCCCTCCAGAACCAATTGAGTTCTTAAAGGTCCACTATATTTCATTTGAATAGTTGACAGGGTGAAAATATTTGCATTCTTTTCTACGTAAGAAAAAAATAAGACTATTAATTTAATATGTTTTCATATTAATATCTCATAATATGACTATTATTTTTTATTATTTACTTTAGTATAAAATGTTATTTTTTTTCTTTTTTTGAATTTTAATCATAATATATTTAACCCATTATAGCTAAAGCATCATTCCAACATGGGAGCGATACAAAAGAAATACTTTATCTTTCCTCATACTAACCCTCTGAGACATGCTGTATACTTTATGACAATACAGATGCACTGCAAGTGCTCAAGAGCCACATGTGCCCCTATTGCCCCACCGTACTGGTCCTAAACATTTGTTTTGTTTTGTTCCCCTTAGCTTCCTTTTGCACTGAAGTCAACTTGGGACATCAATATCAACTCCCTGCTTTTAGTTTAATTTTTCTTTTTTGAGACAAGTTCTCACCATGTGGTTCAGGCTGGCCTTGAACTCCCAGCCTCTCTTGCTGCAGATCCCTGTGGGCATGTCCCGCTATGCCTGGGTGCCTGATTTCAGCACCATGCTTTTAAAATTTCTCATTTATAGCCTTTGGACAGAAATCTCTTCTTTTGCTTTTTCTATAGGGGCAAACATTATCGTTGAGATAGAAAATAATGCTTAAGTATAAACGGGAAGAATAATGTATAAATGGGAATCTCATATATTTTTCTTTGTTGAATCACAGTTTTTGAGTTCAAGAGTGACCACGCATACCAAGCAGAAAAAAAAATTGAAAATTTTTGCCAAATAATACATTTGGCACTAAGTGCAAGTCAAATTCAAACATCTTCACAAATGTATTTATGGAAGGATAAAATGAAATACATACCAATTGGTAGATCTAAAAACTTTGAAAGTCCTAAATATTTTCTTTTTTCATGTACTGGCATTGTTCTGAAAGCAGAGAGGTAGAGGGAGGCTCATGCCTCACATATTCCAAAGTTTATATAGTTTAGGATTTCTGAGAGTTCATTTGATAAGAGAAATAAATATAAGCACTTTATAGAATCTTAAATCTAAGAATGTCAAAGACTTTTGCTCAGTATAATTTGGAAATTTTAAAAGAAAAAATTTAAATTGATGCTATTTTGCATACAGGCAACACAAAAACATCTACTCTAAGTGTTAGACAAGTACTTAAAACTTGAAAAATATCATTTCTTGGTATTGACGCAGGAAACAGTGAGGACCCCAGCACAGATAACTTTTAACATGAAGACAGGAGCAAAAAGTGGCTTTTACTGTTGCTGGGGGCTCGGGTGTTACTCTTGTCAGTCTGGAGAGCCAGAATAGAAGTTTGCACTTCCTTATATACCTCTTTTTACGTATAGGAGGCTTCATTCCATTGGAATTTCCCTGGAAATATAGCAAGCAGGATTTACACAAAGCAGAGCAGCAGATACGGAGAGAACAAAGAGTTCTAGCAGGACTTTCTGAGTCCGTCAGGTTCCTTTAGTGACAGATTACAGAAGTTGTCATGGCTACTCAGGTACATTCTACAAAGAGCATAGTTACCTAGTTAAACCATAGTTGCCTAATAACACAGTTAACTCACATATGCCCAATTTCATATAAAGGGGTTGTCTCCTCTCTCAGTATTCATTTTAATTATTATTATAATTTAGTACTTATAACCTCCCATGATCCCAGCAGAATCCAAGGCATGTCTAAGAAAGTAGGACTTTTTAAAAAGTATGAGAAGTAAAACTATGTGAAGTAAATTAAATGACATAATTTTAAACACTGGATTAAATGATATCAATATTATCTCTACAAAATTTCTAGTATGAGGAAGATTAAGAATTTTAAAATAGCATAGCTGTTAAGGCTTAAGAAGCAAAAGATGTGTGTTATCAGACATGATTTGAATTTCAAGATTTTAAAACTGAGAAGAGGATCAGTTGACATAGAAGTTGAAAGGCACAAGAAATACAGGAAGCTTCTACTTCCTTTGGACCCCAATAGGCAAGCCATTTTAATGCATGCACTATCCTAAATTTTTATTAACTCTAAAAATCTGTGGCCTGAGATTTAGCTCAGTGGCACGGCACCTGCCTCACAAGAATAAGGCCCTCACGAGAATAAGGCCTCACAAGAATAAAGCCCACAAGAATAAGGCCCCAATAACCAACAAAAAAAGAAAAAACAAAAACAAAAACGAAAACAAAAAAACGTCTAAAAATCACATAACAAAAGTGAATTTCCATGTGGTCTATTAGATAAGAATGCAAAGGCGCCTCTCTTCAGAAACATTTATAATCCTTACTAGATAAAGTCATTCACCCTTGCAGATTTTGTTTTCATGCATATCACCCGTGCCTCTCCCCACTTGAACCTGTAGTCCTAATCCATGTGCCTATTCAGAGACATTGTACCAGCATTTCTCTTAGTTCCTCTGGATAGGATAGTTAGCATACAAGTAACTTATACATCTACTACCTTATCTACATATATCATATTTGTATATTCTCTTTGTTTAAAATATCTTTCTCATCATTTTACCATTCTCCAGTTACTGTTCCATCTCTCTCACCTTGACAATAACATTTCCTAGAATTTTTATCTCTATGAACTCCTCTATTTCCTCTGCTCTGATTCTTTTGAACCTATTTTTCTAGTATGCATTCACTTTGCCTGGAAAATTGAAACTTCTTTCATCAGTACAAAAGGCTTTAAGGATAGCCCGTTCTTATACTCACTGGATATAAGAAAATACAGAAAAAGATGAAATGCTTTGAATGAAGCCAACTAGATTTTAAGTGAAGAATTCAAATTCAGCTGTTCCTTTGAACTACAGTTCTCTTCTGTATGTTTATGTTATTAAAATTTAGTATACAGAGATAATTATAATTGCTGATCTTGTATATAGCTTCACAAATTTTTTATTTACAATATATAGTTTTAACCCTACATTGGAACCTAGTTGAACTAATATTGTATCACATGCTTGGAAATTGGTCAGTCAATTTATTTAGCAGTACCAGAATTGGTCCCAGAACCTTTGCACATCCCCAACCTTTTTTAAATTCTGAAACATGCTCTCATTAAGTTGCTAAATTGCCTAAGCAGGGCTGGAAATTGATATCTCCTTGCCTCAGCTTCCCACAGTTCTGGAATTACAGGTATAACCACCAGGCATAACTTCTGTTTCTGCCACTCCCCATGGAGGTTACTGACACTGTCCCCTGCACTGCAATGAAGACTCTGAGTACCAGTCAAATCAGTTTGAGGGCACTGGTAATATTACTTTTTCTTGATTTGACTGCTGGTTACATGGAGCTTTGTTCATTTTGGAATTTATGGAGAAGAAAACTTACTTGTTCACCCATATGCAAGTATATTGTGTATCAATAAAATCCAAAAAAAATAAAAATTGCATGTTATGGCTTATATTCAGATGTCCCCCCAAACCTCACCCACTCATAGGTTGGACATTTTGGAGCTGGCTGGATCTAGGTTGTGTGATACTGGGATAAAGGGTATGTGGTACTAATTTAGTCCACTGCCTGGAGTTGGCATAGTTATGGCTATGGATAATGGAAACCCTACCCTTGGTGTGGCAGGCACCAATCAATAGGTTTATAGCCTGGATGGAATATAAAGGGAAAGAGGAAAGGCAGACTTGTGCTTGCTGCCTTCTGCTTGCCATGTCATAGATTGTTTCTTCTTTGCAACTCCCCTCTGTTATGCTGCCTTGCCTTGGAACCAGCTGACTATGGATGAAAACTCCTACAAACTGTGAGCTCAAATAAACCTTTCCTCCTTTAATTCTGAGTGTTGGGTATTTTTTCTCGGCATCCAGAAAAATAACTAAGATATTGCATTACCCTGGCAGTGGCACACGTGTTTAATATGGATTCAGAGTTCATATTCAGTGCTGATTTTCAGAACTGCATAGCAACAATTGGTGTTTTATAGCCCCACTTATGTATTTTAGGTGGGAAGAGAAAAATCTCCACCTTTCACTTAACCAGACCAAGTCTCCCTGGCTATATAGATATCAGATTAATACTAGTTTCTGTCTTACATTAGAAATTAGATCCTCTGTTGATAGCCAGATGGGAATTTATTATTAGTAATTTTATGCTAATACAGACCACAGACTCATATACAAGCTTTAATTCTGTACATTTGTCTTAGATTTTCCCTATAATTGAGAAGGAAAACAAGTTAGAGAGGATAGGTAATTGTCTTAAGACTTCTTTCAACTAAATTGTGAAGTAATGTCATAACTATTGATACTGAGGTAAAGGACTGGAAAAAAATAAATGTTGGTACATAATAGCAAATAAAGGAGAGAATAATGGAGATCAGTATGAGAATTGAAAACTATCAATAAAAACTATTTAAAATGATCTATCTCTAATTTATTAGTAGTTATGGAGAGCAGATAAAATTACTCCTTAAACATACAAATACAATCTGAGATGGTATTTGGTTTTGCAAAAGTGTCTAGGAAAAGGCCAAAAATCTCTTGTTGCACAAGTATTTTTAAATTTAATTTGTATCCATCACAAATCTCATTTACTCAATTACTAATAATAATTTAGTGTACCCAACTAGAAAGAAATTCAATGTATAATAGTGATTCTTCTCTGGATATTTGAAAAATATTTTATATTCACCAATTCTAATTTAGAAATATGTATTTTTTTAATTTAAAAAATAAATCTTGAGTCACCAGCTTAGCTGCACAGTAAGAGTGGTCGTGGGCTGACTGCACCCTGCTCCATCTGGCTCGATCCTCCCACTTGTTACCAGGAGATGGTGAGAACTCTGCCTGGGCATGCCCCACCAGCTGCCAGCATAGCCACGTGGGTGTCTGCAACAACAGCCCCACCCCACCCCACCTCAGGCCTCTTGGCTATGCAGCTACTTGGTTCAATACTACAGAGGCACAGGGGGACATGAAGGCCATTGTCTTGAGATGCAGAAGTGAACAAAAGAGAGAAGGTGTCTCTCAGACTCCCTGATGAAAACTGAAGCCCACTGGAAAAGTGAAGAGAATCTCTAGAATAAAGGCAAACCAGACCACCGTGCTTGGTAAGTTGGAGGGATTATCACCCCTCATCAGAACCTGGACTGTCTTCAGGGGAAAGGCAGCTGGAACCTGCAATAGAACATTGCAGAGTTCAATCCTACAGGAGGACAGGGAGCTCAATTTGGGACTTGCAGCCAGAAACCTGCCTGAATTTCACGGGTCTGTGACTGGCTTACTGATACTCATTGACTTATAACTGCACACTGCTGCCAACATTGTCTAGTGAGACAGCAGAGAGATACACTGAAGGAAGCCCTTCATTTTTATCTTTTGTTATTTTCAAAATTACTATTTTTTGCTATTATTTTTCATTTTTTTCCTCTTTTCTACTCTT